CGATATCATCATGTTGATTTCACTTTGGTATTTATATGCTTTCTCCATGCATTATATAGATTAAACTTCCTTGAGCATTAATTTACCAATTATACATAAACTACATTCTTCATCATATGTATGTATATATTTAGGGGGGGCTTAGTCTATGTAATGTGAGAGTCAAATTTTGTGACCTATTCCACTCCATATACAAAGGATCACAAAGTTTGACCTTCCCTTGTGCTACTAATGTCTTCCTTTTCGGTGTTTGATTCTAAAGGGGGAGAATTTGTAGGACCAAAAGCAAACTTGATCATAATAATTTATAAGTGGTAATAGTCCGAGAAAGGGAGGATAGTGGATTATGGAGTTAGGGGAGGCTTAAATCCATAATGCCATATGGGGACATTTGCAAGGGCAAGATAAGTTTTCAAAAATGTTTACATGTGGTATCTTTTAGCATCATATAATCTTGCCCTTTGCATTGCATCCTAGCAAGTAAATAGTTTTTAAATTCCAAAAATTTTATTATTTGCTTGTTTTGGTCGTGTTGTCATCAATCACCAAAAAGGGAGAGATTGTAAGAAAAATTGACCCTAGGCCCATTTACTGTGGATTTTGGTGTTTGATGACCAAAACAACCAAATTGGACTAATGAATTTGCAAGTAATTGTTTTGTAGTTCAATAGGGTGCAAGACGTGACTTGGACGAAGGCGACATGTTGATCCCATGATCAACACCATAAGCAAGACCCTAGAAGCACAAGAGAAGACCCAAGATATCCAGCAAAGTCCAAGCACGAAGATAGGAACCAAGCTGAATGTAAGATCGCGAAGAAACGAGCTTCATAGAGGTCACCGGACGCGGTCCTTATAGCGATCGGACGTGTCCGATCAAGATGCTCAACAATGGCAAGCGTTAGCAGCAGTGACCAGGCGCGACGATGACACTGTTCACTGTCGCGACAATAGCTCAGCACTGACCGGACACTGGAGGGTGATCAACCGGACAAAGGAACTGCAGCATCCAATCGAGTCCAGAGAGGTTCCAGAGCAGCGCCAGCGCAACCGGACGCGTCCGATCGACAGTGACCGGACTCAGCACCGAGTTCGATCAACGCGCTAGCTTCAACGGTCAGGATGACCGGACGTGTCCGGTCAGGACGACAGCAGCTTCCGGTCAGTAGCAGAAAGGTGGGTTTCATCCCCAACGGCTACTTTCCTAGTGGGGCTTATAAATAGACCCTCAACTGGCCATTTGAGTTAAGAGGAGCTGAGGAAACATACCAAGGGTGTTAATACACCATTTTAGTGATCTCTACTTGCATAGTGCTTAGTGATTCATTAGGTGATTAGCGTAGGTGCTTTGCGAAGTGCTTAGGTTGATTAGACCACCACTTATGCGCTTGCTCTAGGTTTAGGCCTAGTGTTTAATGAGGTTTGCATACCTCTTACCACTCGGTGCTTGCGCGCACCATTGTTGTACATCGGAGGGGCTTATAGTCTTGCGAGATCACACCAACCGCGTTTATGGTTTGGCCGCCACCGTGTACCGAAGAGAAGAAGGCCCGCGGCGGTTTGGCCGGAAGCTTAATAGTGAAGACGGCGGGGAGCGGTCTGGGAGAGGCTTACCGAAAGGCACACCGAAGACCCACTTGCGCATGGGGAAGGCCTGAGGCTATCCATAGAGTTGTCCGACCGAGAGCTTGGCCCTTGCGAGGGGCTCCAACGAGAACTAGGGGGAAGCTTGCGCGCTTGTCGATACCTTGGTAAAAATACCGGAGTCATCGACGGGAGTTTGCATATCTCTACCTTACTCTTTAGCTTTCGTATTTACATTGTTTGCATAACTTCTTTTGCGGTAGAGATAGCAACACACCTAGCAAAACCGTAGTTACACATTTAGATAGTTTATCTTTTGCATAAGTTTTGACTAGGTGAAATGAGAGGCCTTAGTTAGAGTTAGACTTTTAAGTTGCCTAATTCACCCCCCCCCCTCTTAGGCGTCATGGCCCCTTTTCAAAGCGCCTGGGCTAAAATGAGAGAAACAACTGGATATGCTGCTCCTGGTGAATTTGCAACTACTTTAGTTTATTACTATTGTCTTATCATCAGTATCCAAGTAAATAGGTTTTCTCATTATCTCAATTGTTGCTTATGTTAGAACAAGCTGACAAAATTGAGATGTTCCCACAAATGGCAAAACAAACATCATATCCATTAATTCAATACTCTAAGAAGTGAACTATTGTGGAAAGAGTTATGCGTAAGCACCATCGATGCATACTTAACCTCATTCTGTTGTTTTCTTGCAACTCATGTGAATTTCAGAGTATGGATTGGGTAATGAAGTTTCAGCCCACGGTGATGTCTATAGCTACGGTATACTATTGCTTGAGTTGTTTACAACGAAAAGGCCAACAGACAATGAATTTAGTGACGATTTCAACCTTCATAAATATGTAAAGATGTCAGTGCCTGACCAAGTGGGTAAAATTGTTGACCAACACTTGCTACAAGAGTTAGATGATAATGAAGGAATGACCTCAGACTATAATAAAATTAGTAATATAAAGATTTCTTGCATCACTTCTATTCTTCATGTTGGAATCTCATGTTTAAAGGAGACACCAACGGAGCGTGCACAAATTGGAGATGCGCTGAAAGAGTTGCAAGCAATAAGAGACAGGTTTCGCAGGGATTCACTCCAACTCTAAGCAGGAGCCACAAGTCACTAAAGCATTCCAAGGTCATTCCTGTGCATGACATCTTGTCATGTTACAATAAATCCGGTTGAAGAGTGACTGTAAGAATGGAAGCTCTCCAACTACCTCGTATGGCCTTTTGATCAAGGCTTCCTCTTGTTTCGAACAATAGTATAATACATTAGTTGTCCTAATCAAGTAAAATATTGGGCATTATATAACTTTTTTCTTGCGGCATAAGCAGATATAATGAAGCTTCTCCACATTTGCACATTCATTCTTAATTCTTCTCATGAATCCTTCTCAAATTGTCTCCACCTTGAAGAGAGAGAAAGTGAAGGACCGAAACGGTAACAAGAGGAGGTTAATGGAAGCCAATTAAAATTCTTTAATAAAACATAACCTATGTCTCAAATTCAACCTAACCCTCATCTCTTCTAAATGCGAAGATCCCACACATCATTACATCAATTCAGTGACTGACCCTAAAAACAATCCGAAATTTTGTCAAGATATTCCGGAAGCAAAATTCAGAGACACTACTATCGAAGTGGACCGAACATTGGAGAGGCTATTAAAAGTTGCTAACATTAGATTTGGAAGGTAAATATATAATCCGCCAGGGACCTGTTCTTTTTGAAAAAAGTCTATATCACCCCTAGGGTTTGGAGAGGTGTCTACTCAACCCCTCAAGTATAAAACCAGGTATTAAACACATTAAAGTTTGTAAAACCGATCAATTTATCCACTGGGATGGTTTTGCTAGGCGGTTTTGCCACGCTGGCACGGTTGACGAGTGGACCCCGCTTGTAAGTGACAGGTCCTTCTCTCGTGGTCCCTGCCCGTCGTCCCCTACCTCCAGCTCCCCCGCCGTAGTTGGAGGGTGGCGTCGCGTGCTCCGCGGGCTGCGTCCGCGTGCTCTCCATCGTCCACAGCTGAGCTGAGTTGAGCCGCCGTGGACCCGCTGAGCCAAAACCCCATGCCCCGCCCCCACCACGCTGTCGGTCATTCCCTTCGCTCCCCGAGATCCGCGCTTTGATTCATCCACCGCCGATGCCGCCCGAGACCATGCCGGCCACGGACCTCCAGGACTCTTCCCCGTTGATGCACGCCCACTCCTCCTCGTTCTCCTCCTTCGGCCGCACCCTCCTCTCCCTCCGCCGCGATGCCTCGGCGGCCGTGATGCCGACACTGCCGCCTACCGTCGAGCCGGAGCTCGAGGAGTTCGACGCCACGTCACCGCGCACCTCGCAGACCTCACTGCGGCACGCGACGCTGGTGGCGGAGTTCGGCGAGCGCGCTGTCAAGACGCTCGACGTCTGCAACATGGCGTGCGACGGCGTGGACCTCACGGGCATCACAGCCTCCGCGCTGCTGCTGCCGGTGCCGAGGAGGAGGAGCGGCAGAGGCTGATCCACAAGGGCCAGCTCCGGTGCGCGCTGAAGGCGCTGTTGGACCTCTCCGTGCTCCTCATCGACGACGACGACACCGCCGCTGCGGTGGGCGCTGGCGGCGGGCTCGCCTCGTTCCTCGCGTCCCACCGCAACTACTCCTTCGGCCGGCGCGGGCGTCCTCCTCCCGCGCCGCGTCCCTCGCCTCCTCCTCCTCCTCCTCCTCCACTTCCTCGTTGCGCTCCGCGCACTTCCGCTCGCTCTCGTAGAGCGTGTCCCACACCTGGTCCGCGGCGCTCGGTTGCAGAGCCATCAGGCCGCCCAGCCATGCCGTTGCGCGCTAACGAGGCCGCCGCCATGGGCTCGCTGCTCCACCTTGCTTGCGTGGGCGCTCGCGCCGCCATGCCTCGCCGGACAGCGCCGCCGTGCTCAAGGCGCACCACCACCTCCGTCCCCGCCGCCAAGACGCCACGTTCCCACAGGCGCCGCCGCTCTCGCGCTCGTGAGCGCCGCCGAGGAAGGGAAGCACAAGGACCGCCGCAACTCGTGCGGCCTGCTCAGGGAGATCCACGCGCTCGAGAAGTGCACGCAGAGGCTCGCGGAGGCCATCGATGTCGCGCCCGTCCCGCTCACGGGCGAGCGAGAAGCTGAGGTGCGGGAGGCAGCAACCGAGGATGACAGCTGGGGACCACCTGTTTGTGAATGAAGGACCTGCCACTTATAAGCGGGACCCACTCGTCAATCATCCAAGTCAGCATCAGAGTCCACCTCAGCGTGCGGCAAAACCGCCTAGCAAAATCCTCCAACCAATTTTATAAATTTTAATGTGTTCATCTGAGGACACACACTTTTTCCTATTCTTTCTTGAACTGAAGCTAGCCGTCCTTCCCCCCAACGCCGCCCCTCTCTCTGCGGCGGCGGAATGGCGAAAAGCGGCGAGTCCACGGTGGAGATTGCGTCCTCCAGCTCCTCTCCTCTTACTCCCGCTTCCGCGTCGGCTACGAGGCCGAAGGCGAAACACCGTATGGAGATCGAGGGGTACCCAGTGGATGGCGTCTCCATCGGCGGTCAAGAGACCTGCGTCATCTTCCCGACGCTGAGCCTCGCCTTCGACATCGGCCGGTGCCCGCAGCGCGCCGTCTCGCAGGAGTTCCTCTTCGTCTCCCACGGGCACCTGGACCACATCGGGGGGCTTCCCATGTACGTGGCCACGCGGGGGCTCTTCAGGTTGCGTCCGCCCACCATCTTCGTCCCGGCGTGCCTCCGGGACCTCGTGGAGCGGCTCTTCGAGGTGCACCGCGCCATAGATCAGTCCGAGCTCAACCACAACCTGGTCCCCCTTGAGGTCGGGGAGGAGTACGAGTTCAGGAGGGACCTCAAGGTCAGGGCTTTCAGGACCTACCACACCATACCCAGCCAGGTGAGATGAATTGGTTCACTTCACTTCTTGGAATTGTATATGTTGTGAATTCATCCGTTATAATCTTGCAATGCTTGTATGGAGTATCAATTACGTGATGTGTATGCAGGGGTATGTGATATACTCGGTGAAGCAGAAGCTTAAGCAGGAGTTCATTGGCCTACCAGGGAGCGAGATCAAGCAGCTCAAGCTATCAGGTGTGGAGGTCTGTCTGGCTTGGTGGCTTTGGAGTTCAAATTGAAGCACAGTCTAGTAACCTGTTGAAGGGAGTATGGCGTGTAAGCCCCCTCACCAATTCATAACTTTTGCAGATCACGAATACGGTGTCCACCCCTGAAATTGCTTTCACGGGAGATACAACAGCAGATTTCATTCTTGATCCGGATAATGCAGATGTGCTGCAGGCAAAAATTCTTGTTGTGGAGGTATTTTGTTATCACTTGTCGCTTTACAGCTAAGTTCTCAGTTTGCAACATGTCACCAATTTTGTGGCATTAACAGCAAGTCAACATACTTAGAAACACATTCCATCTCCACTGCTGAACGTTTTATCTTCTGTAGTCTTTTCCCTTTAGTGAAATGTGCTGTGTGAATTTCAGAGTACTTTTCTAGATGACGCCATTTCAGTTGAGCATGCAAGAGAATATGGACACACACATTTATCTGAGGTATCTGATTTAAGCTGTTATTTGAGGTATTCCAAACTTGTTTATTCAACTTTCAAAATGTCAAATAGTATCTACCCAGAAGTTTGCTTTTGGAAACACAGATAGCCAGTCAGTCCAACAAGCTTGGAAACAAAGCTATTCTACTGATCCACTTTTCTGCTCGTTATACTACAGAGGTGGGCTGACATCTAACCATTGTTTCAGTTCTATCCATTGAAATGCTATGGCTACTTGCAATTTTTCTTTTCTGTTATTCAATTCCATTCTGACTACTTCTATGTGGCCACTCTATCCTAATTCCATTCATACTTAAGATGCTTCGCTTCCATATGGCTATTCAAGTTTTTTTCCCAAAGCAACTGCACCAACATGCACATCTCTTTTCTATTCTGAAATTGTACTTGATGAAGAAATATATCAGTTGTATTTGCTCCTTTTGTTATGTCTGGGAAATTTGGCCTATTTGCTTTGCATTGTTTGTGACTAAGCTAGTTATTCTCTTGACCTTCTCTGACAACTTTCTTTTAGCAAGAACAGTATCTGCATCGAAAACCTTAATATCCTTAGTTATGACTATTCTGTTTGCAGGAAATTGATGCGGCAATAAACAGATTGCCACCGTCTTTCTGTAGCAGAGTTTATGCCTTGAAGGAAGGCTTCTAATAAAAACATGAAGCAGGACATCAGTAATGAAGTTTTGTCAATGGGATCAGCAATGCAGTTTTCCAAATTGGATCGTGTGGGTAACTTTCACTATAAATCTTTTTGCTATGTGTGCTCTGATGATACTATACCAATCATCTGAAGATTTGTGCGGGACTTTTTGTTGTCGGTACTCAATGCTTCTGACATTGGAATGATTGAATAGTGGAATACGAAACATCCCACATAAGCACCATGTACTTAATTTCTTTTTTAACAGAACCATTTACCTTATTTCTGAACATTGGCAAGTTGTATTACATGAATACCATGTGACTTTCGACCAACAACAATGGTTCGTGTTCTAACTTCTACACTCATATATATATGTGTGCAGCCACAATAGGAACGATCCTCGCTTCATCTCTGAAGATATACAAGTAGTACTACTGTACCGAATCCACAAAAGAAAACTGAAGTTAGGCAATTGGTTTACAAAGTGAACTGGCTACATCCATTGCTACGTGCATGTCCTTGCCCCTCATTATAAGAAACAGAGATCAACATGCTTTCACTCAGCATGCTCCAAGATCTGCTCATTTGATCTGTCTCATGAAATGAGCGATTGACAGATGATAGATATGAACTGAAGACAGGTGTAACAGAATTTAAAACGAATGGCAACACTGCTTTAGATCTGAGGTGATAGATCACAGCACCATTCACCGACCTATCTTTGCAACACTGCTTTAGATCTGAGGTGACTTAAGATGTCTGACTGTGAATCTGATGCACATGGTTATCTTTGCTGTGAACGTAGAGCATAGACTTACAACCTGAATGCAAGTTAACCCCAGCAAACATGTGTGTTGCCAACCTGTTAGAGAACTTGTCCGGAATCTGGATAGGTTACCTTAAAACCGGAATAAGATTCTGAAAGTTATCAAGCATGAATAGGATTAGTTCCATTGAAGCCCGATCCTAAGTTTTAGAGGTAAAATAGAGTGGAGATTGGAGAAAAATGGGACTTGCAGGGTATTTGCCAATGGTAGGAAAAGAAACGGGTCTTGATATTTGAACCTTTAGATGGTGCAGTCCGAATCATAATACCTTTTCTTTTCATTTTACAAGATCAGTTCAAAACTGTAAAATGTCAGTGCCGATTTTTGTCTGATTTTAAGACCTTTGCTCAAATTCAGATCAGAGTCTTTATCTCAGTACTAGTTAAGACAATGAAGAAACAACTGTATGTGTTTCAATCAACTGACAGGAGCACGCACCCCATCGTTCATTTCATTCCTGCTATCTATACACCACACAATCAAAAGAATTGGGAGCTGGAGTGTAATATACAGTTACAAACTTGGTTTACTACATGCTTTTCAGAGTCTTCAGACCATGCATCCAATATATATTCAGAACCATCGACGACCATATACTGTACCCTCACCAATCAAAAGTTCGTGGCAAATCAATCACCTTCATCTTGTCGGCAAACACACGCAGACAAATTTACGGGCGTCTACAGCTCCGGCGCCTCTGGCATCAGCTTGATGGTCTCTACTCTCTGAGCAGCTAGGTGCCTTGTGCTTCAGATTTTCTTCAGTTCAGGCTAAACCTGAAACAATTTTGTTGAGAAAATGTCGGTCAGATTCAGTTTCCGTATCAATTGTTCAAAGAGCTGTGGATTGTTGTAAATAATGCTAAGATGATTAGTGGACATAAAAGCTAAATTGCACTACTTATTTGGTTCTTTCAGTGTTCTACTCTTTTAGGACTTCTTTGACTGAAATTATAAAGAATTCTGGTATGCATTTTCAAACACGCCCTTAGCTTCGGAGCACTTGACTTGCTGTGGATACATCTTCTGATCACAAATAAGTGACGTATATTTTTTTTTATTAAAAAACTACTTACCAAGACAAATCTACTCATACCATTTCCAAACATCCAAATTCAACAATATATATGCTACTAAAATTCCAAATAGCTATCATAGACAATCCCAGAACTTCATTTATTATTATTGATTGAAGCTAGTATGTCATACACCCAAAAAAAATCTACCTGGAATTTTCAAACCATATTCGGAAATTCTTTATTTTCACTTTTAACTAGAATTATTGGCATATACAGTACGTGTTTGGTATCATGCAACTTGGAAGCCAGTTTGGGTATGCACCTTTAGCTCACTGGTCCTTACATGCAACCAATAATGTTCCTGTCATCTAGGATCCAATGTCCCTATGGACTTTTCCCGGTTCATACATACCCCAGATTTTGCCGTCTTGCAAAAATAAAATAAAAAAATAAACGGTGTCTTTTTATACACGGGATAAGGCGATCAGCTACCCCTGATGGCCCAACTAGCGGCAACATGCAAAAACTTGGTACACCAAAATGGGGCCAGCAAGTTCCATCATGAATCCGCGCTAGCTAGTGACACACCAACATGTATTAATGTATATCTATTTTTTAGATAATGAACTACAAGCCTACAACATACTACATATCTGAACATTTTTGTCATGTCCAGGAGTGAAATTTGGCCCTAATCGCTGCAGCTTCTTTAGGCTGTAATTGTGGCTGCAAGAGAAACACCTATAATCTGCTTAAACTTTATTTTAAGGGGCAGCAAGAGATTTGCCGCTGTTTTTATTAGACAATGGGAGAAAAACAATCAAGTGCAAACAAAGAACAACAAAGAAAAGATCTGAGAACTACCAGAAAAAAAAAGGAACAACAACTCATCAGGGGGATAAAAGGAAGACGAGGCTCGGCTGAGACAACAGATTAAGACCCAAGGGCAAGAACAACACTGTTAGAGTAACTAGAAATAATACCACATTTTCTAATCACGTGAAGTGTTAGTCCTATGTACTCTATATAATCAGCTCATGAGGCCCAATGCAATACAACACAATCTCCACCATTTATATTCTCCTTCATGGTATCATTCGCCTAGGTTTAGATCATAACCCTAGCCACCGCCGCTTCCGCACCGCGCGCCCCCGGGGAGAAATTGATCTCCGACGGGGCACCGCCACCTCTTTAGGCGCCGGATCCTATTGATCCCGCGCCCTCTCCGTCATCATCATGGCGCCCCTCGCGCGCCTGCAGCTCCATCGACATGGCAATCCGACCACAACTACGTCGACCTCGGCCATCTTCAGCACGGCTTCTTCGACCACGGCTATTGCGCCCTCACGCTCGGCTACCTCGACATCGGCACAAAGGGCTACCGCCTTGCATGAGGACTCATCGGCTTCTTCTCCAGCCACATCATATGCGCCGCATACAAAGGGCTACCGCCTTGCATGAGGACTCATCGGCTTCTTCTCCAGCCACATCATATGCGCCGCATCGACTGTTATGACTGCAGGGGATGTTAGCTTCAGCTTCTTCTCCAGTCTCACCGTCTGCAGCGCTCCCGCTGTGACTGCGGGGGGATGTTAGAGTAACTAGAAATAGTACCACATTGTCTAACCATGTGAGGTGTTAGTCCTATGTACTCTATATAATCAGCTCATGAGGCCCAATGCAATACAACACAACACAATCTCCACCATTTATATTCTCCTTCAAACACTACTTCAAAAACGACTCTACAAAGTCTAAGCCAACTAAACCGTAGTAAGTTGGGGTGGCATCGCCAAGTTGTGTTGTGTAACATCATCTTTGCATAGTTACACAATAGAGCTTGATGCATGCGTGCCTAAGAGAAGCGGAATTTCCTTGAACAGTTGGACGTAATTTGTTTGTATGTATTTCAGTCTAGCTATCTTCTTCGCTTACCCAGCTGTAGATAGACATGCCTGAGGATGGAAATCATCCATAGACTTGCTATCCTGCATCCCAGTGGAAATGTTTTATAAACGAGCTAAGAACCTCACTGATAATGGGTTTGTCGGCTGCGGCTACAGTCAGTCGATAGGAAATTGCAGCCACAAAAACCGAACAGGCTTGCACCCGCTTTGAAAAGTTTATGTCATGTTTGGTTCTCAGCCACCCTACGCCACACCGAGTTGTGGCGGTGCTTACCTCAGCGGCGGTGAAAATGGATGCCACGGCTGTGGCAGGATTTTACACGGAAAGTAACCTGGCGGGGAACCAAACACCCTCTACATTTCATATGAAGATGTCAAAATTCAGTTGTGCAGCAAGGAAAAGAAGAGTAAGCCTACTATGGAGAGACACAGAGAATCCGCGGTGGCTTTGGCTCGGAGGAAGACAGACAGACAGCCGTTCCGGTTCTGGTGACTCACTAGTGATCGCCTGACCGGCACCGGCATCCGACATTCCACTGTGCAGTGAGCACCAGGCCTGGCCCTGGATCTGCACGATCCACTGCGCCACCCGTGGCCTCAGGCATCTCCTGCGGTGGTGCCACGAATTGTCTCTCTTGCTTGCTAGTGCTAGGGATCATCGATCAGCTAAGCTAGCTACCCTACAAGGGGGGCCCGTACAGCGCCACACATGTTAAAACATCCTTTTATTTGGGTTTGCCTTGTGTCTTAATGCTTCGTTGACACACACACACACACACACTAGAATTGAATCTCCTTCCCTTATTGTGCTCTGCCTCCATGGATGGGTAGGGTAGCATAACACATGCATGTGAAGATGCGTACAATTGGAAAATGCATGTAATGTATAGTATTGTTGCCTCAAGTTTGCAAGAATTTCCGAGCGCAACAATCGCGCGAGCTCACTTGATAGGGGTTCGCAAGAATTTTGGTCCAAATTCAAAGCTCCACAAAAGAATAAGATTTCAAATTATGAATATTTGCGTAAATAAAGCCTACTACTTGGAACATTACAAATCTACTATATACGCATGCAAAAAACGTTGAGAACGGAGTAACAACAACGACATTAGTAATTAACTAAAACACCGACAAAAGCAATTAGCTAGCAATGCAGGTAGATGCAAATGAGCAGGAGTACTGGTAATGAACTCAACTCACCATCTTACTCTAAACAGGAGCACCTGGCACTTGCTCATGGGCCCAACCACGGTCCCGCCGTCGGACGACGACCCCGCGGCGGCGGCGCGCGGCGCCATCACGCCGTCGTCGCAGAGCAGCCTGATCGGCACCATGCCCGTGCTTATCGCCCCGACGCGGACGCCGACGTGGGCGTCCACGACCACCCTGAACCCCTGCTGCCGGCGGCGGTACCTGTCTCGGACGCGCGCCGCGACGCCCTCGTCGAGGACGACACCCCTGGCGGTGGCCACGAACGCGACGGTGGCGACGGTGCGCGGCGCGTGCGCGAACCCGTGCACGGGCGCCCAGCCCAGCGCAACGTCGACGTCGCCGTCGCCGCCGTCGGCGTCGCGCAGCGACACGCGGCCCTCGCCGTCGCCGTACCGGAACGCCACCCGCTCGTTCGGGTTCCACGACACCACGCGGGCGCCCACGGTGGCGTCCATGGCCGACACGGACGAGGAGTTGCCGCCGCCGCCGAGGCGGAGGCGCACAGGGGAGAGCGGCTGCAGGTGGAACGACGGCCCGCGCGGGCGGTAGTAGAGGTAGGCGAGGCAGGCGGCGGCGAGCGCCAGGCAGAGCGCGAGCAGGGCGAGCCCCGTGGCCAGGCAGCACGCGCGGCGGCACGAGCACCCGCCGCCGCCGCCGCGGCGGTGGTGCGGCGGCTGCTGGCGGTACGGCCGCGGATGCTTCCGGGCGCCGCCCGGAGGGTACTGCTGCTGCCGGTACTGGTGCGCCGGCGGTGGTTTGAGCGGCAGAACCTGCGGCGGCGGCGCGAGCGTGGGCTTCTTGAAAGGCGGCGCGGCCGGCGGCCTGCTTCCGGGGGCCGGTGTCGTCGTTGTCGTTGTCGGCCTTGCCGCCGCGGGTGCCGCCTTGGGCCTTGGCTTGGACGGCAGGGGAGGCTTGGGCTTGGGCGGCAGAGGCGGCTTCTCGGCCATGGCGTGCGCGTGTGGTGATCGTCCCTACGGTACGTGCAGATGCAGGTGCAGGACGGGGAGAAGGGTGGGGAGTGAAGTGATGGTTTGGTGCCTAATTGCTGACTGATTAGCTGCCGCTGCAGCTACTTATAGCGGCAATGGAATGCTTGATGCTTCTTGGTGATAAAACAGAGGTAATAGCTTGAGGGGTTGGTGATGGCCGCTCCAGGACTCTTCTACTCTGCTCTACTGTGTGTAGCCGTGGTGGCGTAGCTTTGGCCATAATGGGAGGGAGGGATACCAGTGAGGCCCGGTGGCAGTGTGACAGCTAAGGATGGGCCGCCCAAACCCCTGGTAATCGGCAGGTACCATCAGGCTAGCAAAGATACTTTATTAGGCTATAAAATCTCTCCGGGTTGTAATTTTGTACCCACAACCCATTCGTGCCCGGGAAAAAAAAACTGACCCGATTGAATACAATATGTATCTATTTGTATAAGCTTGTTGGAGGATCGATCGATGGAGCGTTCGTGGCGCAGTAGGTAGGATGTAGCTCTCGATCGGTGCATGCACGCACGAGAGAGAGTCATCAATGCCCAATCATGTAAAGTACTTAATCCATTACAAATTATAAGACGTTTTGGTTTTCTAGTTTTCGCTATGTATATAGATATACACTATATCTACTAAAAGTGATGTATCTTGGAAAGCTAAAACGTTTTATAGTTTAAAACGGAGGAAGTATGTTATATACAAACGGATCATATAATAAGATTATAATCATGAATGAACATATATATATATATATATATATATATATATATATATATATATATATTATATAACACATATGTGTTTTAACATAAAAAAACACATATATTTTCTCTATGCAACACCTGTGGTAAAAAAAACACCTGTGGTCGCCTTTCCGATGTCGTCTCAAGAAGCAGTCACGTACAGCTACGTGCTCGGCTGCATGGTGGCCTCTTATCGTCACATGGGCGCACGAGCCAGTAGCGTCTTGAAGTCCCGTGTTGAGAAGGAAGGATGCATGCCCGCCTCAAGCGCTTCGTGTCCGTCCGTGCGTGTCTACGTAAGCCATTGCAGCTCACCTCCATGCTAGGGCAGGCCTATACGCGCGTTTCGTCAGTCGCGTTGTATGGCTCCGATAAGATCCGGACATGATTTGTCCTCTTGTTCTTGCATACAAAAAAAATTATTTCTTGTGATATATGGATCTGTGATCTTGTGATTTGTGATTGTCTGGAGGTAGAAGAAGGCTGAAAGTAGAAGGAGGATGGAGGTTCTATGGTGTAAAAAAATCATGTGTTAAAATTATATAAAACATATGGTTATTGGGTAGACAGACTCATATATATATATATATATATATATATATATATATATATATATATATATATATATATATATATATATATATATATATATATATATGAGAAGCCGTGCAAATAAACGATTAGGCAGGCAGGCAGGCCCGACGCCATCGGCGTCCATCGCACTGTGACCCATTCGGCGGCCAATTCCTCAACGGTCACAAGAGACTAAAAACCAAACGGCGTACGCACCAACCAACCGTCGACCGAGTTGAGTGGTGGCCGGAGCACCGGATTTTTTTTTTGTTTTTTAGCTATTTTTTTAAAAATTTTTCACAAATATGCTCCTGAGTTATGCTTTCAAAATCTGGACTCTTAGTTCAGCGTCATCATTGGTGGCGCCGAGCTTACACGTCTCGGCGCCATAGATTTTGACGCCTAGGTCTTGGGCTCAGCGCAGACGTTGCGGTGACTTGGTAGGCACCTCGGCGCCGTAGATCTTGATGTCAAGCTTGGCGCCGTAGTTCTTGGCACCGAGTTTGGCGCCGTATATCTTAGTGTCGAGCCTTGTCTTATGTATGGGCCTGCTCTTCCTTTCTCTCTTCTTCCCTCTCTACCGCGCCCGCGCCACCGCGCCGCCCGCGCTGGCCACCGTGCCCACGCCATCGCCCGCACCCTTTCTGCCGACCGCGCCCGCATCCGCATCGTTGCATTGACTTGGACAGGTAAAATTTTTAAATATGGAATATAGGTACTTAGTTAGCTTGAATTGTAGTGCTAGTAAATTTGATGATGTAGGTAGTTGATTTAGTTAGTGATATAGATATAGTTAGATAACTAGTGACATAGGTACGTAAATATAGTTATTAGATAGCTAGTTGATTTAGTTAGTGAGATAAATATAGTTAGATAAATATAGTTAGATAGCTAGTGACATAGTTATTTAGGGTATAGTTGGTTAGTATCTATTAGAGAGGTACTATATAGCAGCTACTTTGAATTAAACGAACTGTATTTCAATTTTTGTTTGAATTACTAGATGGACAACCTAGTGAGCATATATCATGGAGGCACCGTGGAAAAGAAATCGCTATGGATATGTTGAGTTTGTTAAGATGCAAAACGTGTCTGTGTTATTTAATGAGAAGCCTTCATTTAGTGAGTTGGTTGCAAGGGCTCGGGAGGAGCTACATTGTCATAGAGCTGATGATGAGGATGACATCGCAGTGGAGGGTGTACTTCACCTAGGTTCCCCTCCTAACATACTAAGGAAGATGATATTAATTGGGTGTGCAGACCAGTGGGAGAACTATGTGGGATCGGCTATGAAGTGTCAGTTCTAAAGTTTGGACGTGGTTGTGCGTCGGGTGTTAGTTTATCCCATCCCTCATGTGTTTTCCCCACCAATGGGTTAGCAGGCACACTTCGATCCTCCTGTCCCGGAACCTGATATGGATGTGAAGGTTGCACCTACGGTTAATGATGCTCAATCTGCCTCCAATGAGCTAGTCGGAGATGCTTGTCAGACTCATGATGTTGTGGCAGATCCTCCTCATGAGATCCCTTTGACACAGAATCATCCGAGTATGTGTCTTATATGTATAGTTATTAGGAGTTTACCCCTTTCTTATATCTATTTTTTTATTCTTTTTTTATTTTTCTACTTATGTTGTAGGAGACATTCCTGACAATGTGGATGTGTCCACTGTTGCTGCGCAAGTGCACTGTGGAGATGAATTCTGTGGCTCCAATAGTATTGAAATTATGAATGATTCGGAGCCATATGAGATGGCAAGGGCTCTTGATTTTGATGATGATCGTCCTGTTAGAGAGCTGACAGAGAGTGATGTTGAGATGCTGAAGCGTATCTTTCGACCGCCGTGATCCAAGAGTTCACGAGTTTAACGATCTTGCTCATTTCGATCAGGCGTGTGTAGAAGGACGTGATGATGAGCTCCTAGAAGCTCATGAGACCGGCCCTAACATGGTAATTGAGAAGGGTAGATTGGACCACAATTCACGCACTTGCCATTGGCAGATTAGTGAAGTGCGACTATCGGTTGTTTTCATTATTTCATATTTGTCATATTCATTCAATTAATTATGCATGTCTCAATTTATGCTTGTAATTGTGTCAATTACTTGTATATTTCTAAGTTTATGTTTCATTGTTTATTGAATTTCTATTTCATTGATTTTTTTTGTAGGATTACGCAATTCCACCTGCTCGATCCGGCGTACGAGGAGACCCACTATTTGTCAATGTTTTCCTAAGCGGTAAACGGTCTTTACACGGTCGCCTTTCGTTTAGCGTTTAGACTGTTTACACGGAGTTTAAACGAAGTTAAATGGTCTAAATGATTTTGTACTTTTAAAAAAATACATATAATTATATATGTGCATGTAAAAAATCAAGTATTCTAGCATTTATACATATTTATCCGAGTAAAAATAAATTATTTTGGTATGTATATATATTTATGCATGTGAAAAGAACCAAATATAGATATTTATGCATGTAACATATCAAGTGTACATATTTATAAATATAATAAACTTAAGTATGCAAATTTATCCATACAAAACTGAACTAGATTTACCTCGTGTTCGCCTAAACGGCCGTTTAAACAACTATTTAATTTCCGTTCCGTTTAGGCCGTTTTCCCGTTTTTTGACCATTTAAACGGTCAACCGTTTAATTTCCGTTTACCCCCTAAACAAAACAGTTTACCTCCGTTTACCGTTTACTGGCCGTTTAAACGACCGTTTAATCTGTTTAGGCGAACACTGCTATTTGTCGTATTGATTCAATTAATTATGCATGTCTCAATTTATGCTTGTAATTGTGTCAATTACTTGTATATTTCTAAGTTTATGTTTCATTGTATATTGAATTTCTATTTCATTGACTTTTTTTAGGATAGCGCAATTCCACCTACTCGACCAGGCGTACGAGGAGACCCACTGAGGACGTCTCATAAGCGGAGGGGTAGGTAATAATCTATACATCTTGTTCAAAATTTTGTGAGCGTATATGTGTTCGTGAAGTAACGGGAGACTATGTTTTATTCCATGCAGGACCTTCCGTTCCTTCATCCTAGAACCCCCAATGGATTTTTAGACATGCAGTACGACAACAGGTACACTCCTTTCCTACAAAGAGCTGGCCTAGATGTCATCTCTTTTCAGGTTCGTCGTAGGTTGCCCAAGTTCAACTCAGCGGCCATAACTGCGTTGGTTCACATGTATTATCTTCAATCATTGCCTCCATTCATGGCCATTTGTTCATGTGCTTGCCTTTTTAATATGTAATCTTGCTTTGTCTAAAATGTAGGTGGCGGCCGGAGACTCATAGCTTTCACTTGCCTTTCGGAGAGATGACAGCCACGCTCTAGGACTGTAAGAAGATGCTAGGTCTGAGGATTCATGGCAACGCAGTGACTGGGCAATGTAGGTTAGAAGGTTGGAGAGCACGAGTAGAGGCTTTCCTTGGGTGTGAGGTTGGCAAGCAAGGTCTCGTACTTCTGGAGTTCTAATCTCCTAGCTCCGGCAAGAGTTCGCACAGTGCCCCAAGGAGGCAGATGAGGAGACAGTTGGGTACTACTACAGGGCATGGATCCTACACCTGTTTGCCTGTGTTCTGTTCCCCGATGCCACAGGTGACACTGTGTCGTGGATGTGGGTCCA